AGCATAATAGTCATCAGCATCATCATCAGCAGCACCATCATCAGCATCAGCTTCATCAGCATCATCGTCATCATCACCATCACAATCATCATCAGCAACAACATCAGCAGCATCAGCATCATCCGAATCACCATCACCACAATCATCACCATCACAATCAGAGTCTTCATAATTATCAACATCATGATCATCATGATCGTCTTCATCATCATCAACAGCAGTAGCTGCATGATCACCGCCACCATCATCCGCATCATCATCCTCGTCAACATCATGACCGTCTTCTGAATTATCACCATTCGCGGCGTCATCAGCATTACCATCATCATCAGCATCAGCAACATTATCATCATCATCATCAGCATCATCATCATCATCATCATCATCATCAGCATCATCATCAGCATCGTCATCCGCGGCATCAAAAAAGTCCGCCGACCCCTTGTGGGTCTCCAGGCGTGTGAGATTGTTTCCCCCCCCCATAATCCCCCCCCAGGGACCCCCCCCAACAGGGATTTTGACACCCCACCCGGCCCCGGGTGGCCCCGGACCGAATTCACCCGGGGCGGTCTGGGCTCCCTGGGCTCGCTCTTGAGCTGCACGACAGCACTTGACGACTCCCAAGAAGCCGCCAAGCCGTCCACGAGAACCTGAAGTCGCCGAAAGATCGTTCCAAGACGCCCAAGATGAACTCGAAACGGCCCACAAGGCCGCCAAGATACCCCACGAAGCCTCCAAGAGGTCTCCCTAGAAAACCCTAAGAAAATCTTATCATAATTGTCGTCGTCCTGATCATCATCAACAACCTCAACCTCAACCTCAACCTCAACCTCAACCTCAACCTCCTCCTCCTCCTCCTCCTCCTCCTCATCATCATCATCATCATCATCATAATCATAATCATCATCAGCATCATCATCATCATCATCATCATCATCATCAGCATCAGCATCAGCATCAGCATCAGCATCAGCATCAGCATCAGCATCATCATCATCATCATCATCATCATCATCATCATGCGATTCCTCCTCGCATTCCTCTCTTCTCCCTTCTCCCTGCTGCTGGTCCCCATCCTGGGAGGAACAGGGGACGACGACAATCAGCCCGCCTCTGCTGCAAGTCGAGGGGGGGGGGAGGGAGGGAGGGAGGGAGGGAGGGGAGGGGAGGGAGAGAGGAAGGGAGGAAGGGATGGAGAGGAGGCAAGAGGAGGGAGGGAGGGAGGGAAGGAGTGAGGAGGGAGGCAAAAGGAGGCTAGAGGAGGAGGAGGCGAGGGGAGGCGACTGGAAGAGAGACGAGGGGAGGCCACCGGAAGAGAGACGAGGGTGGCACTACAATTTTCAAAGAGCTACTGAAGGCTGCCGCACGCGCATCAAGAGAAAGAGAGGTCCCGCCCCTGCCCCCCCGCTCCCGCTGCTGCTGCCTTCCATGGCTGCTACAATGGACAGGTTTCCCACTACCAATACCATAGGTCATGAGGACGGGGGAGAAACGAGGATGGGGAGGTCGTCATCGTCGTCGCCCCCCTCCTCCTCCTCCTCCTCCTCCTCCTCCTCCTCATTATCCCTTTCCTACCATTTGTAGTTGTGGCGGAAAACAGGCTCACCATGCTACACTGGGCGGGAGGAGGAGGGAGGAGCCCAAGCATCTGGCGCCTCGAGTTTTTCGAGACGCGGACCCCCGACCTCTCGACCACGTCCCCAGGACCAGGCCTTCTCATCCCAGGGCGGTTTTTTCAACTGCCCCGAGGCCCTGGAAGAGCCCCAGGAGGCCGAAAACGATGAACAACCTGCGCCTGCCATCGTCAAGCGCCCGCCAGTGTCAAAAGAAGCTTGAGAGATAACCGTGCCTCAACGGCGAATTGCAACACATCGAGACGGATTGTTCTGCGGTGCGCATCTGGCGCTTTGCGCACCAGCCGCGCCCCGAGACGTTCCAAGGCTTTTCATGTTTCCTGCGCTTGGGAGCCCTTTGTAGCAGCCGCCATCTGCGCGAGACTGCCGTATGCTTCTCATGTGGTGGGCCTCCGTCTCGATGTTCTCGAAACACTGGATATGCTGGTTTGAACGCCCGAAATGAGTGCGTACGGAAAACATTGGTACAATGCCCAACACCGAATGATGTCCAACACCGACTGCGGCCGCTGTTGGGTAGGCGGCGATTTGTCTTCAATGATCAACATCCGCGGCGGCGAGGACAGCGGGCCCTGTTGAAAATGATCACGAACTGCTCTTGGGCATCGTACCCCATCTTGCCGTACCTACTTCGATCGTCCCGTTTTGGGGATGTTTGGGGAGGAGGAGGAGGAGGAGGAGGAGGAGGAGGAGGAGGAGGAGGAGGAGGAGGGGCAGGGCGAGCACGAGGAGCAGCCGCCTCAAGGCCCTGCGCCACCTCGCCCAGGCGCTCGCTCTCCGCCCTCGCGCCCAGCAGCGACGCCTCCGCCGACGCGGCGCGCACCTCGAGCTCCTGCGCGCGGCGAGGGGAGGGGGAGGGCCCCACCCGCTCCGATTCCTGCTGGCGGCGAGCGAGGGGGGGAAATGAGAAGGAGAAGTCGTTTTTGGAAGGCGGCGAGCGAGGGGGGGGAAATGATGAGGCCTTCCCGTAAGGCGGCAGGACTTCTCAGAACCCCCCCCGCGCCCTCTGGGTAAGTGTTTGGCCGTCTTCGGGGAAGGCTCGGTACATCCCTCGGCATGCCAGGGGGCTTGCGACACCTCTGAAAAAGGCCTTCTCCTTCTCACGTCCCACCCTCGCTGGCCGACCGATTCTGGGGAGGACACACGGGGAGAAACGTCGGCCTGTAATCGGCGATACATCGCCGAAAGATATTTCCCCATAGCGAATCCGCACGTTCCTGGGCAGGCTGGGGCTATCGGGCCCCTTATCGACGGTCACTGGGCGATTGAGGGTCGATACTTCCCCCCATGCCTATACCCCCATTATCGTTGCCCCTGATTCTAAGGGAGGAGGGCAAACGTTTTGGTCGTCAGCCGCGAGTTGCCAAACACTGTGCCAACGACGGCGGGATACACCCCCAGAGGGAAGGCAAATCGGTCTCTCAGGGACTGGCTTGCGCGCAGCAAGAGAGGCTGACATCGACAACCATGGGCGCAACGGTACCCAGCAATTGATCTAGTACGTTTGCAGTCGTAGTGGTCCTTGTCTTCCATCTGTTCCTCCTCTTCCTCATCCTTCTCCTCCTCTTCCTCCTCCTCCTCCTCCTCCTCCTCCTCCTCCTCCTCCTCCTCCTCCTCCTCCTCCCCCCCCTCTTCTACCCTCGTTGGTCATAGCATGTTTCCAGTGGCTGCCGCAGTAGCATTCCACTGTGCAAACGCCTTTCTGTGGATGCTCGGGTGTGGTGGGGGAGTGCGGGGGGGGATGGGAGGGACTGTTTGGACTCAGCCGGGCTCTTTGCACCAATTGTACGCCGCCAGTGCGCAAAGTAAGCGAGGAGAGTGCCACACTAAGACGCTGCCGATGTCTTGGCCACTGCTAAGTTGCCCTCAGGTACTGGGAACAAAAACAGTCTCGAGGCGAGGGGAGGGAGGGAGCGAGGGAGGGAGGGAGGGAGGAGGGAGGGAGGAGGGAGGAGGGAAGGGGCGCCCGACTCTCGGGGCAATCACGCACAAGGGAAGGAGGGAGCAGGAGGAGCAGGATGAGGACGCTCAAAGGCTTTCCTCGTACGTTTGTTCCGCGCGTGGAGCCCTTGGCTCGGGCCCCCGGGCTGTCGGACAAGGATCCAGCATAGGGAACCGGTAAGGGTGCATCGGGCGAGGTCTTCGATTCGAGCATGCTGCGCGCAGAACTTTCGCTATCTGGAAGGGGGTGAATCGCCAGTCGAGCCGGCTGCCCGTTGTTGTGAGAGGAGGGTAAGCAACCAGCAGGAGGCATGAGGAGGGGAAGAGGAGGCAAGGGGGGAAGGGGGGGGGGGGCGGAAGGGAGAGTGGGGCAGGATGGGGAACGAGGCGGGAAGGGGGAGACCGCCCTACCCCTCGCGCTGCCCCTTCTTCGCGGGCGCGCAAACATGGATTAGCGATCCATGGATTTGGCGCGCGGTCGCCAAATCTATGGATCTGGGGAGGTGCCCTCCCCAAAATGCGGCCGGTGCCGCCTCGTTCGGCGGCGGAAGCCCGCGATTTCCGAAAGGAAACGGGACCCGTCGCTAATCCACGCCCCCTTGATCCATGTTTGCGATCGTCCGACTTCTGTCTCCTCTCCTTTTCCTGCTCCCCTGCGGGCCCCCCTCCTCGCCCAGACTGGGCCGTCCCCCTCCGTCCAACGCTGGTCCTGGGAGCGCCTCTGGTCAGGCTACAGCTTGCAATGCCTCACTCAACAAGCCTACACGATCTTGAAGACATCTCCACTGCCAGCGCACTCAATGCACGTCCTCGTCGGTTCCTCCCCCTCTCTCCCCCTCCGTGAGGAGGGGCAGGAGGAGGAGGAGGAGGACGAGGAGGAGGACAAGGAGGAGAAGAAGGAGGAGGAGGATGAGAAGAACGATGGCTCCTGGATCCGCGCCAGGGACGCCTCCAGCTGCCTCTCCAAGGCCCCCAGCTCCTGCCGGGCCTGCTCCTCGACGGGCAGGGGAGGGGGAGCGACGAGGCGGGTCGAGCAGTAGGACGGGAGGGGGGGGGGGGGGCGTCTTCCTCCTCTCTGCCTTTTCCGTCCCCCTCCTCCTCCTCATCCTCCTCCATCTCCTCCTCCTCCTCCTCCTCCTCCTCCTCCACCTTCTCCTCCTCGTCTCGTCCTCGTCTTCCTCCTCCTCCTCCTCCTCCCTCTCCTCCTCCTCCTCCTCCTCCTCCTCCTCCTCCTCCTCCTCGTCTTCGTCCTCGTCCTCGTCCTCCTCCTCGTCCTCGTCCTCCTCCTTCTCCTCCTCCTCCTGCTCTTTTTCCTACACCTCCCCCTTCCTCCTCTTACCCCTTTTCCTCCTCCTACCGCCTGTCCTCCTCCTCCTCCTCCTCCTCCTCCTCCGCCTCCTGCTCCTCCTGCCCGTGCGGCTGCGGCTGCGGGCGGGCCTGTGCGACGCACGGGTGCTCTTGTTTACCCCTTCCTCCCCATACTTCTCCTGGAGGGGAGGGGGGGATGGGGAGAGGGGAGGGGGACAAGCTAGGTGCGCAATAGTCTTATCTGACGTCCGACCCTTCCTCCCATCCCTTACCATGACGAAGATCGCCTCTCTATTCGCACAGTCGGATGTCGAGCAAGGCAGTAGTCATCAGAAGGTACGGAACGCACGGCAGAGCGTCGTCGGGTCGAGAACACGACTCCTGTTCTACAACCAAGTCTCAGGGAACCAGACATGACGTAGGACGGTACATGTAAATGGACGGTGTGGAAACACCAAAGCGTAAAATGGCAGCCCTGGTCGAGAACACGACTCATTTAGACAGCAGGTTCTGAGGGGAACCAGGCATGACGCAAGACGAACAATGAAAAAGAACGATTCGGAAAGAACGGAGGCGTAAACTGACAGCCAACGTTGAAGTGGAAACACGGTTTGGAAGAATCGAACAAATGAAATAATGTCAGCGCTGCAGCGGGAGTATGAGTTGGAAAGACCGATCGCCAGACATTGGAGCCAACGCTAAAGCAGGAGCGCCATTCTCGAAACACCGAAAACGTTCGGAGTGGAAAAGTGCATATGATCGACCACTTCGAGGGGATCCTATGAGTACAGAAGAAGGTACGCGGATGGGGGCAGGTTACAACCTCACTTCGGGGTTTTCGGGGGAGGGCGGAGAATCTTACTCAGTACTCTCTCTAACTGTAGAACCGCGGGGGGGGGGGGGGGGGCAAAAGGAGGGGGAGGAAACAGAGAAGGAGAGAGAAAGGGGGAAAGATGGGCGAGTCAGGGGAGGGGAACGGGAGGGCAATGGAACAACGCCAGGGAGGGGAAGGGGGAAGGAGGAATGGGGGGGCAAGAGGGAAAAGGAAGGGGGGAGGGGAAGTAGCGGAGGGGAGGAGGGGGAGCAGGAGAAGGAACACGAGGAGGATGCTGAGGAATATGTGGGAGTGGAGGAGGGGCTGGGGCATACGCGGGGAAATGAGGGTCGAAGAGAGGGTGAGATTCGGGCGAAGGCAAGAGGAGCGGAGCAGCAAGAAAGGCTTTGGAGGCGAGACGAGGGGAAAAGAGGAACGTGGGAGGAAGTGGCGTGAGCAAGAGCAAGTATATGGAGAACGCCGCAGGCGCCATGTTGGCAGAGCTCAAAATCTCGTGGCCTCCAGGATTAAGACGTTGTAGACACTGGCACATGCAAGCGCAGACACCTTCATTTGATCACGAGAATGAGATCATGCCTTGCAATGTGTTTCACTCTCGTACCAACGTCCGACTTTGAAGCATTGTGTACTTGAACTGGAAAAGAAAAGGAAGAGGAGGAAAAGGAGGAGGAAAAGAGGAGGCACTGAGCCCTCACATACCATGCATCCTGGTGTGCCATGAGGGAGGAAAGACGTAGGGTGAGACAGGACAGGATGGGCGCTTGGAGGCGGATGTCAGGGAGGAGGGAAGACAATTACGCGTTCGACCATGGCCTCGTGTTGATTACACAGTTGCCTTCGGCGGTTACCGGCGGTGCCTCGGAGGTCATCGGCGATCCGTCGGCGGTGGTCGGCGGTCTCCGCCAGCCATTGCCAGTCTTTGGCGATGCTCCGCACGGAAGCCGGAGGATCAGGGCTCACCAGGGGCTCACAATCGAAGACCGAAGGAAGGCAGTGCATCGGCGGAGGAGGGCCAGTGGAGACAACGGCGGATCTCCCGCGGCCCAAATCTGGCCAACATTGTAATTACCTGGACCTCTCCCCGGGTCCATCCTGACACGTCTCTTGAGGCAGATCCGTTTGGCGTCGCTTGATGGGGGGGCGAGTTACATGGGGGGTGGGGGGGGGGAAAGGTGCACGTTTCGGGCCCGAAAGGCCCGAAAGGTGCACGTTAAGGGCCCCTTTAGGGGCCCCGAGGGCCCTTTTCTGCAGCCCTCGCCCCCCTCCCATTTACAGTCGAACCGTATCATACGGATGCACGAGAAAAGATGCAAGGGGCCTGGAGGGCCGTTTCGAAGCTTTTCGAGCGGGGCGCGGCCAACGAAAGTGGCCAAGGATGGACCGAGGCAAGGGTAATTACCCTTGGGACGGTTGCCCATTCTTACTATGCGGGTTGACTTCGCCCCCCCCTCTTTCGGCGACTCCAAAAGGTGTGGTTTGCACAGGGTGTGGTTTGCAACCGGCACTCTGGGGAACATCCTGGGGGGCACCCTGGGGGGTGCGCGGGGACCTCGATAGAGTTCCCCCGCGCCCCCCGGAGGCCCGACGAGGACCGCGTCGTGCCCCCCGGGCCCCATCGGTGCCGATCGCAAACCACTCCCCGGCACAACCACACCCTTCGTCGTCGCCGACCCGTACGCGACGCCCACGGGGCGCGGCGACGAGGAGCCTCTCCGGGAGGCCCACGGAGAACGACACTGGAGCGCCGGGGAAGGCCGCCGCTCTCGGCTCGGGCCACTCCGAGGTGGAAGGAGGAGGAGGGCGAGGAGGAGGAGGAGGAGGAGGAAAAGGATGAGGAGGAAGGAGGACGCGGGGGCGAAGACGGAGGCGGCAGCGGCCGTGCCCCTGCAGAGGTCCAAACGGCCCCCCAGAGGTCCTACGCCGAGATCCTGGCGCTGCCAACTTTGCACAACGGGCGCTTTCGCTCAACTCCGGGCCCCGGGACCCTCACAGATCGATCCGGCTCGAAAAACGACGCAGAAAAATGGGGCCCGGGGCTCCGGGCGTGATCCTTTGCGATGTTGCAGCGTTTTTGCAACGTCGGATCTCAAGGAACACCGCGAGTTCTTTCGGGCGCGTGGGCCCCAACGGGTCCCGGCCCCTTCCCCGGGACCTGCTCTTCATCCCGAGCCTTCTGCTGCTCCCATCGTACTTAAGGACCAAGTCCCAGAAACAATTTCGAGCACCCAGAGAAGTATCGACACAGTGTCGAACGAGTATCGCCTCCCAGAGCTCGACACGTGAAAACTCCCTACAATTTCGGTACCTTCTTGGTGCCCGAAACTCTGTCTGGTGATCCAGGCGGAAGTAGGTGGGGACATCATATCCCGAGCCGTCTCTTGAAGGCCCCAGAGACCGGTGAGGGCACCAGGAAGCAGCAGAAACATGCCAGGACCTCCTGCCGCCTTTCGGGCCGGGCGAAAGGGGGGGATAGCAAAGGGGGGGGGATAATAATCAGCGCGCGTAGCTGACTTTCCCGGCGCCTCCCGGCGCCGGGAGGCGCCCATGTATCGAGGAATGGGCCTGGCGGCGGGGACGAAACCAGCTGCATGCAGCAGATTTCGTACCCCCCCCCCTTCCCCATCCCCCCCTTTCGTCCGGCCCGAGCCCTGGACTTCGCAACGCGGAGGAGGCGGGGGGTCCCTCGGGGCGACAAGCGACGGGGGAGTGGCAGCAGCTGCACCGTCGGGGCCGCAGGCGGTCCCTGTTGAGCCTTCCTGGAAGCCTCGACCCCCCCCTGGAGGTTGAGCATCTCGTTCTTTGACCGATTCCCTGCCCCCCACTGGCGTGGCCTGGGCCCCGCTTGCCCGTTTCGACCCTCTGGATGGGGATATCGGCTGCTTCCTTCGGGCTTCCTGGCGTAGATCCCCAGCCGGGGCGGGGTGATGGCGGGACTGGGATACCATGGCCCGATGGGGGATGGGCATAGGCTGAAAGTACTGAGATTTATCGCCCCCCCCCCGTGTTGCCATCGTTCGGACGCCCACTCCCTGTGCACGTTTCGGTTTCGTGCGTTTTTGTTTGCCCGATGATCCAAGATTAGAGGGCAGAACATCCACCCGGATAACAACCATCCCGACACGCGAAGCCGTTTAGTAAACGCACCCAAAGAAAGAATCAGACAGGGCATGGCTGTTTCGTGAACGCCCAGGGCCGTCAGTCAAAACCAGCAGTCGGGTCCGGGTGGTTTCTCCTCCCTTGAAAGATGCTCCTCGATGGCCCTCGCCGAGAAGAAAAAACGCACACACTTCCGAGCGAGGCCAAGCCGCACGAGACGGCCCGAGACGCCCCGAGCCACCCACCCCCCCTGGGGGCGCCTTCAGCTCGCCCTCGCTGAGCTGCTGCGCCCGGCGCCGCTCCTCGCGGGACCGCCCGCCCCGGCGCCCCGCGGTCGCCGCTCCCTGCGCACGCACAACATGGGGGGAGGGGGGAGGGTCCCGCATGTTCCCTCCTCCTCCTCCTCCTCCTCCTCCTCCTCCTCCTCCTCCTCCTCCTCCTCCTCCTCCTCCTCCCTGGGTGCCGCACGTGGCCTCCATCGCCACCGTCCCCTCCTTCGCCGCCTCGCGGGGAGCCGCGCCACTCCCCACACGTTCGGCGCCTCCTCCTGTTCCCTCCACCCTCCTTGCGCGGATGAGGACGACGAAAAGGGGCGCACCCGCAAGGACTCGGGCCTCACAAGACCTTGTGTAGCAAACACGTGAGTTCCGGTATGTACTCCGCATGCTTGTTCAAAAACGTGATTGAACACCTCTGCACTGGAATCGTTTGAAACGAATCGTTTTGAAAAGACTTCGACGCGCGCGCGAAGACACGCGCGCGCGTGACCCGCGCTCCAGTGTGTGACAACATAGCCGCAATGGTAGTTTAGGGCGTCGTCGACATGCGCGCGATTGGCCCGCGCAATCTCAGTTGACAGAAAGGCTAAATCCCGATGGTGTTCTCATGACTTCTGCGAGCGCGAGCGCAGAATTCTGGCAAGGTTGCTGCTGAGAACATGGCTTCTGATAAATGTAGAAAGGTTTGTCGTGGAATTGTGTTAGCAACAACTGTCTACGAAAAAGCGCGACACGCGCTCGCGCGACATCGCGCGCGCGTGGGCCACATTTGTTTCGCTGGACAACTTGCATGACGTGTGGGGGGGTTGCCGCCCCCCCCCCCCCCCCCTAGCACGCTACAATTGGATGCGCGATGGACGATCGCGCTGAATAAGCATGAACAGGCACGTGCGGGTACGGCTTCGTCATGCCTAGTCTGGGAAGGGGGTGGATTCGAATGTCTTCAGCAATGCAAGCGTGCGCGTCGAAACTTAAAAGGGCTCAGGATGCGAAACTCAGGCCTCGAAGGCTTCGAGGTTCGAGCTTGAACACAGATCGTTATGGAAGGCTAGCGTGATCCTCCTCCCGTCGCCTTCCCTCCCTCCCTCCCCCGTTATCCTCCTTCTCTTTCTACCTCGTCCTCCTCCTCCTCCTCCTCCTCCTCATCATCATCATCATCATCATCATCATCATCATCACCATCACCATCACCATCACCATCACCATCACCATCACCATCACCATCACCATCACCATCACCATCACCATCACCATCATCATCATCATCATCATCATCATCATCATCCTGCTCCTGCTCCTGCACCTCCTCATCCTCGTGTTTCCCCCCTCTTCCCCTTTTCGCCATGCGCATTATCATGTTCGCTCTCCTGTTGGTCCCTCCGTGTATTTCCACTTCTGTGCCCGTCGCTGTCACCGCCAGTCTTCACCTCCTCTTTACTGTTTTGCGCTCAAGTCCTCCAACGCGTATTGGAGCTCCGACAACGCTCTCATAGCCCAGTCCAGCTTTGGCCTCAGGTTCCTGCCGATCTCGTACTGCAGCGCATCGGCGCCTGGCAACGGAGGACGCACCAGCAGAGGCAGCCGCAGAGGCGTGGCTCGGCCAAACCGTAAGGTAGTCTTGTGACTGGGCGGGATTGTGGGACAGACGCACGCTTGGGGGAACGCATACGCGCAGTCAGGAGGCGATGATGATGTTGTTGTTGTTGGTGGTGGTTGCGATACCGTTGGTGATTGTCATGACAACTACGATGATGATGGCGATGCGAGTAGCAAATACATGACGATGGTGATAATGCAGATGGTGATGGTGATGAGTAAAAAAAGGGCAATGATGAGGATGCCTGTTCGTCTACGCGGGTACCTGGAACATAATTTCGCCTGCCTACTGGGCAAGAGGCGTGCTAAAATCTCCGGTAACTGGTTAAAGGTATATTCTAGATCGCGCGCGCGGGGCGGTTTCCGAGGGCTCCCGGACGAACAATACCCCGACCAGGTCCCGGCCAATTCAGCTCAGGGATGGTTTTCCTCCTCAGCGCTGCCTTGCCTTCCAGGCCTCCCAGAGCGCTCCAGGAACGCGCCAGGAAGGCTCCGAGACGCCCCCGGGACGGCCCCAGGGGCCCCGAGTCGCCGAAAGATCGCTCCAAGACGCCCGTGCTGGTCTCCAGACGGCCCTAGGCGCAGCCGAGAAGCTCCAAACGAGCCTCAAGGCGCCCCCCAAGAGGGTCCCAACAAGCAAAAACCGTCTCATTTCCTTAGGAAGACGTGCATGTCTGGCATAGCCGACGCTCGGGGGTTCACAGCGTCCAAGGCTGCCCAAGAGCCCCCCAAGATCGCCCCAAGATGGCCCAACATGCCCCCAAGACGTGCACAAGAGGGCCCAAGAGGGCTCCAAGACGGCCCAAGAGGGCTGCCTTCCAGGCCTCCCAGACCGCTCCAGGAACGCGCCAGGAAGGCCCCGAGACGCCCCCGAGACGGTCCAAGGGGCCCCGAGTCGCCGAAAGATTGATCCAAGGCGCCCATGCTAGGCTCCAGACGGCCCTACACGTCGCCGAGAAGCTCCAACGGAAACGGAAACGGAACGCCTGTGCGGGCATGCGCCTGGGCCCCTCAAGGGCGAGGCGGGTGAGGCCATGGCCTCGCATGAGAATCTGCGCGCGTCGGGGGTCTACTCAGGACAATGCGTACTTCAGGAGCTGATGTCCCGACAGTCCTCACTCATCCGTCTTCTCATGTTGTAGCCACGTCGTCTCGTTGAAATCGTAGTGCTTGTGGTGTGAGACTGTCGGAGAAACCCGTGGGTGTCATCGTCCATTCTGTGGCCTGTGGTCTCGAACTCATAGCAAAACACGTTCGAGTTGAACTCCTCGGACCTCCAATCCACTGCACATGGGTGTGGGAGCACGGGTGCTCTCATGAACTCTGTGTCACATCTTTCAGTTACCACTCAAGAAACAGATCACCACGTGCAATCGAAGGCCCATACGCGCTCTGTGACACACCCAAGAGATCAGCTAGAGGTCGATTGGTGGTGGAAGTGGAAGTCAAATGTGAGAGGTTGGAGGTCTGAATGTTGTGCTGGTGGAGGGTGGTGGTCGATTGGTGGAGGTTGGAAGTTGAAATGATGAGTTGATGGACGCCGAAGTCGATAGACAGAGTTGGCAGTGGAGAGTTGGATGCTAGAGAATGGAGGTCGTAGTGTTGAGTTAATGGACGCTGGAGGTCGTAGGGGGTTGAGCGTTGAGTTAGTGTTGAGTTAATGGCCCGCCTGTTCAGCTCCAAGAGAGCCTCAAGACGCCCTCCAAGAGGGCCCCAACAAGCAAACATCGCTTCAGTTCCTTAGGAATACCTGCATTTCTGGCATGGACGACGTTCGGGGGTTCACAGCGTTCAAGACTGACCTAGAGCTTCCAAGATCGCCCCAAGATGGCCCAATATGCCCCGTAGTTGCGCCCAAGAGGGCCCAAAGAGGACTCCAAGACGGCCCAAGAGGGCTCCAAGACGGTCCAAGAGGGCTCCAAGACGCCCCAAGACGCCCCCAGAGAAAGAACTCGAAATGACATTTGAAGCTGACCCCAGGGGCCCCTCCGATACCGCCAGCGGGCTCCCAGAAAGCACCCAAAAGTCCCACGAAGCCCCCGAAGGCCCAAAATCAAGCCCCCAGGGCAGCCAAACGGCCCTGACGAGGCCTCATGAAGCTTCAAACTGCCTCCAAAAGGCTTCCGAGACACCTGCCAGGAGACCGCGGCACTGTCGAAGGCGGTGCCTGCAGGGCGCAACAGAATAGCAGTGCCTGCGGGCATGAGCGAGCGAGGTGACCAAGGATGCTAGCGCTCCGAATGTTACCGGCGAGTCGGCGGTGGCCGAAACAAGCTACGAATCCGAGCCGCACACACGGCGCGCCAGGGACGCGGACAGAGGGCACGAGGGAGAGGAAGAGGGGAGAAAGCGTTGTATGGCATGCCAGCCAAAGCCAAGGGTCCAACATGAAAAAACGGTGGCTCAAACATCTCGCCGTGATTCTGCTCGGCTGTGGAACTGGACCCCGATATTGTCCGACTCTGTCGTGATAAACGCCGTGGTAAAACTCGCCACCATAAAAATGCTCGACCCCGCAGTGCATGACATCGACTTGGTGCTCGATTATGTCGTGGCGGGCGCCTTGGAACTGCTCGGTTCCGTAGACCTGGCTGTCGACGGGGTGTTCCGCATCGTCGCAGTGGACGCCGTGGTAAGTGCTCGACGCGTGGACCTGGATACCAGCGTGCTCGGCTCTGTCGTGGTACACATCGTAGAACTGACCGACTCGGTAGGGCTGGATGCTCCCCGCGTTGGGATTGCTCGGCCCCGTGAAGTTGATGCCCGACTCCTTGGAACTGGATACCGGCATAGTGCTCGACCCCGTCGTAGTGGTACTGCTCGAAACCGTAGAACTGACTGGCTCCATGTTGCTGGATGTTGGCGTGGTGCTCGGCTTTGCCTTGGTGGGCGCCGTGGTACTGGTCGACTCCGTGAACCTGGTTTCCAATGTTGTGCCCGACTCCGTCGTGGTTGGCACCGTGATACTGCCCAACTCAATGGAAAAAAAATATCGATTTGGCGTCCGACCCCATCGCGGTGGACACCATGGTTACGCTCGTCCCCTTAGAAACTGGTTGCCGACGTGGTGCTCGACGCCGTCGGGGTAGACACCGTGGTACTGCTTGACAGCGTGAAAGTGATTAGCGCCGTGGTGCTGGATACCGAAATGGTCCCCGATTGCGTTGCAATGGACGCCTTGGTACTTACTGCTCGCTCCCGGAACACTGGATGCCGACGGGGTGAGCGGCTCCTTCGTGGTGAACTCCGTGGTGCTGCTCGACCCCGTGAACCTGGGATCTGGTGTGATGCTCCTAGTGTGGGGCGGCTAGTGTGCGTGAAGCTGGACACCATGATGGTGCTCGACTCCTTGAAGGTGGACACCGTGGTGCTGCTCGACTCCGTAGAATTGGACTCCAACGTGGCGTTCTTCTCCGTCGTGGTGGCCGATCGCCTCGCCGTCAGAGTTCATGGTGTCGCAGCAGCGCCCCGCGTGGAATAGATGTGGTTCTAGCCCTCCTGCATGCGGTCGTCGTATGTCATGGCGCTGGTTAGCTCGTTGACGAATTTCGAGGTGTGGTAGCATAGCAGTTCCGCGACCTTTGTGCGGTTGGTCAGGTCGTCGTGGGCGCCCATCTTCACGTGGGTCCACAACGCTCGCATGCGGCCTTCGCTGGATCACGCTCTTGTCCTGAGGGCCTGTGACTCCAATCCTCCAGGCGGCACCGCCAAGGCATGAGCTCTTTGCCCGAGAGCCTACAACCCGCTGGGTTAAAAGGTGGAGACCGTGGGGGTCGAGAAAGACACGGATGGCCTCCCGTTAGGCCACGGGGCCCCGGGACAATGTTGGACTCGGGGCCGATCCATCTTGATGCCGCTTAAGAGCGGCGACATCGCTTGAGAATTCCTCGCAGGGTATGTTCCGACCGCTTTTCACACCGCCAAAGGGTGGCGACTTCGTTTGGGCTGTCCAAACGACCGCGCGTCTCGTCCACCCCTGCGTCGCCGTTCCTCCGTTAGAGTCACGACTCTGTCTGGGAGTTACTTGGGGTCGATCGAAGGTCGAAGCTCGAGTTTTTGTTTCGATGGGCGAAGACCCAGGGGTTGTTCCCTGGCATAGTGCTGATCACCACTTTTTAATCCAGGGGGTGGTAGGGACGGTTGGGGCGCGTCCAGGAAACCGCTGCGCCACAAAGGCCTGAGCTCACGGCGGCCTTTGATGATGATGATGATGATGATGATGATGATGATGATGGTGATGATGGTGAAGATGGTGATGGTGATGGTGATGGTGATGCTGATGCTGATGCTGATGCTGATGCTGATGCTGATGATGATGATGATGATGATGATGATGATGATGATGATGATGATGATGATGATGATTACGAAGAGGAGGAGAAGCGGAAACAACATACAAGTTCTTTCATTTAACCTGTTTCAGTGGTCCCTCGGTTGGCCCCATCCCCAGATTGCTTGATCCGAAGATCACCCCCTTGTTCACCGACGCCTCGCCCGTCGCCTCCAGGGGGTGCATCGGCTACGCGTTCGCTCGGACGGAGACCGGGGTCGGGCAAAGGATGTTTCCACTCCTGGGCCCTGCAAGCTTTCCTCAGGCGAGGGCCATATTCGCTGGCCCAACGGGCCAGGGCGTGCTAAGATCTTCGGTACCTGGTTAACAGTATTTCTAGTTCGCGCGCGCGGGGCGGCCCCTGGGGGTCCCCGGACGAAAAGTACCCCGGCAAAGTCACGGCAAGGTCGGGCCAGAGATGCCGGAGCCCTGTTACAGGGCCCCAGGACGGGCCAAGAGGTCCCCAAGAAGCCTCCAAGACGGTCCAAGAGGGCCCCGAGACGGCCAAAGATCGCCGGAAGACGCCCAACAGGGCTCCAAGACAGCCCAAGAGGCCTCCAAGACGCCCCAAGGGCCTTCCAAGAGGCCTCCGAAGAGGGCCCCAAGAGGCCAAAATCGTTGATTTTGATTGCTTTTTTCTATGTTTTTTGCGTTCTAGCTTTTTCGGCTTCCGGACGCTCCAAGACGGCCCAAGAGGCTCCCAATACCGCTCCAAGACGGCCCACGAGGCTCCCAAGACGGCCCCGGAACGGCCCAGGAGGGCCCCCAAGACGGCCCAAGTGCCGCCCAAGACGGACCAAGAGGCCCCAAGACGGGCCCAAGAGGGGCTCAAGAGGGGAACCGAGAACTGAAAAATCGAGCCCTCCGCCCCAGAAGGCGCCCAGGAGGCCCCAAAAAGGCCCCAAGAGGCCCCCAAGAGGCCCCCAAGACGCCCCAAGAGGCGCCCAAGAGGCCCAAAAGAGGCCCCAAGAGGCCCCAAAACGGCCCCCAAGAGGCCCCAAAACTCGGCTAGCCCACAACGGTGCGACAATATGGGCCGGCGGAATGAGCGAAGCGATTAATAAACGTGCTCTGCTGTCTCATTCTGCAGGCCCTGCGAACTGTTGGGGGGGGGCTGATGTGCTGTGCGTTTTTTGGCCACGTAAACTCTTGCGGGCCCCTGCCCCCGAGGGCCCGCAGGGCGATTCCAGGCCGGGCCTGGGCGAGTGGGACGCCCTGGGAAAAAGCAGCGGGGGGCCCCGCGATCGTCGGCCGCTGGTCTGCTGGCCACATGCCACCCCATGGATCGTGGCCGATGAGCCGCTGCGCCGGCGGAGTCCAGGGCCGTGCCGAGGGTTGGAGGAACGGCGCAGGGAGGGGCAAGGCGAAGGCTTCTGCTTGATGCCAAAGTGTACTTCTGTGTATTTTGTGATGAGGATGATGGTGGTGAGGCGGAGGAGGACGAGGAGGAGGAAGAGGAGGAGAATGATGGTGATGATGATGAGGATGAGGATGACGATGATGATGGTAATGCTGCTGATGAAGATGGTGATGATAGTGATGATGGTGATTGTGATGTTGATGGTGATTGTGATGGATGAGGATGAGGAGGACAAGGATGATGATGATGATGATGATGATGATGATGATGATGATGATGATGATTAAGATGATTAAGATGATGATGATAATGGCGGCGCTGATGGTGATGATGATGATGATGACGCTGATGCTAATGATGGTGAGACGCTCATGTGAGGCGAAGTTTTGAGTAGCACGAGAAGGAGGACAACAAACAACCGCCAGAGATTCAGGGGGAGAACAGAAGAGCACGACACGCCAGATGCGTGACGATTGCACGGTTACTGACCAGGAGTGTGGAGGACAACACGACAAAGGAATCCTGAGAGAGAGAGAGGAGAGATTGACGGGCCGATTTTCCACCACCACTACCACAAGGAGGGGAGGGAGGAAAAGGAGGAGGAGAACAGGGAGGAGGAGGAGGAGGAGGAGGAGGAGGAGGAGGAGGAGGAGGACAGAGAGGGGGAGGGGAGGAGGAGGAGGAGGAGAGGAGGAGGAGGAGGAGGAGGAGGAGGAGGAGGAGGAGGAAAGGGAGGAGGAGGGAGGGAAGGGAGAGGAAGAGGAGGAGGAGGAGGAGGAGGAGGAGGAGGAGGAGGAGGAGGAGGGGGAGGAGAAGAAGAACCTCCCCGTCCTCCCTTCTTCTCCGTCCTGCCTGTGGTAGCGGCGGTGGACAAGTGACCCATCAGCGATGGAGATCGGGAGGGGCCGCCTTCGGACCACGGCGGCAAGTCGCCCTCGGCGGCCACCGCCACGTGGACCTGCCGGCGCGCGCGCCGAAGGAAGCTCTTGCCGTCATCCCCGCCAAGAGGAGGCGGAGGAGCAGAGTGAAGAAACACGTGACCCCTGTCCCTCCCTCCCAGCCCTCGCGCCTTCTGCCAGTCCCTCCCTCCCTCCCTCCCTCGCCTTGCCTCTCGCCTTCACCTCCCCACGAGCTTCCAACCCCAATCCTCCCGTCCCTTCTCCTCTCATTCCGACTGCCTCTCCCTCTCACTTTCTTCCCTACCTCCCCCTGTCACCATCCCCATCTGTATACTCCACCATGCCTCGTTCCTCCTCCTCTTCCTCCTCTTCCGTTTCCTCCCTCATCCAACTCATAAATATATATATATATATATATAGGTGTATGTTCCTACTTCTACTCCTCCTCTTCTGCCCTCCTCTTGATACTGCTGCTGTTGCGTTCCTCGTCTTCCTCCTTGCTGCAATCCTTCGGCCCTATGCCGAGTCCGCCCTGGTTGGCTTTCCTTGATTCACGGGTGGGTGGGATGCGCCGATTTCTTTTAGTAACATGCACCGTGTGCTCTGACAAGCACATGGTGTGACGCGACGGCATGCGGTGCCAACCACCACCGTTCCGATGCAACACTCCGCCTACTGCACGAGGCCTCGAACAACAATGCAACAAAATTTTCGGCAATGTGACCGTCTAAAGAATCATCGTGCAGCCCGGACCCGTGTTTCCGAAAGCACGCCGGAGTCAGAAGGCAGTGAAACAAACTGAACGCATGTACCAGTTTAAGGTGCGCTCGCAATCCCAAGCGCTTCACGACGACATCAAATTAGACACACAGCCGAACTCTCTGCACGCGTTCGAGGCTGAAGAGCGCTGGGCCACCCGATGTGAGCACGGCTAGCCGTACTTCTCGAGCAGCAGCAGCAGCAGCAAGACGCCAAAGGCAAAACCCAATGACTTCTTCGTGTTCACCAACATGTCCCAAGGTGCTGTTCTACGCCACTCTTTCCCGGGTGGGCAGAAGGACGCCGTCTCGGTTGCCATTGCGGTTAAGACCGGACCAAAGAGTACTTCATGGGCGGTCCGCCAGACACGATGGCCCACTCATGTGGCTGCTCGTTCACTGACATGACCCAACAAAGACTTCGCGGAAAGACTGGCAAGAATGGTTGCCCCACGAAGAGCTTGGATGGCCGGGTGAGGTCGACGATTCACGCCTTCAGTGGGAGTCTGCAGACTCCGGCCAAGAAGCGGAGCCTTCCATCACATTTCTGTCGGCAATCAACTCCGCCTTTGCATGCGAGAGCACTTCAGGCGCTGTCTCCATGTAGCTGGCGCGCACGGGGAATAATCTTCCTTCGGCAGGTGCAACACCTCCGAATGCATCTGCACGTGCCACGGAATGAAGCCTCCACTACCACCTGCCGCAGTCTGCCGGCGCCGACGACACGAGCTGGTCGCCCGATGGGAACGCAACGGTGCGAGACCAGGGCACGCGCGTCGCCGCAACGGTGCGTGGCGGCAAGGGTTTGAAGGGAGGGCCGTCACGCTCTGGATAAATGAAGGCAGCGTGCCAAATCTTCCCTTGGCGGTCGGGGCCCGCACCCTCGCCGTTGGGCCTGTGTCCGCAGGCCCGTGCCCTGGCGGCCCCCCGGCACGCGCGCGCACACACACGCACACACACACACAAACGCACACACACACACACAAACACACGCACACGCACACGCACACGCACACTCGCTCACACTCGCAAACTGTGAACTAACATCCGTGTCCATGAATGCAAGGCCCTCTCACGCTCGTTGTTGCTCTGTGCTGTCACTGGTGCAAGCGTGCCGCTGCTGTTTCTGGCTCTCTGTATGCCTACAGGGAGCCCCTTCGAGCACTGCTACTATGCGACCGCCTCGCATGATCGAGCAAAGATCGCGGGGCATCCATCTCATCCATCGAGGGCGCTGTGTCCGGGACGCTCAACATCACGGCGCTGTTGCAGAAGAGAGTATTTCACATTGGTGTGTGCGGAGCGGCGGTCCACGGCACCGCTATCAGTGCGTTGCTCCCAATGTCGCTGACGATCGCCTCCCTCGCCTTCGCCGCCCTCATCATGCCGCCGACGCTGTCCTTCGAGCAGGGAATCCCAGTCTACGACGGCACGCCGGAGTTGCTGGAGGAGTACCTGGACAGAATCGACACGTTGCGAGTCGGCACAACGGAGGACGTGGTCAAGAAGATGGGGCCGCTAGGCCCGAGGCTCTACAACGCTCTGCGCGGCGAAGCCTACACTGCGGTCAAGGCCGCCAACATAGACAAGATGGACCTGGGCACGGACTCAGGGATAGAAGCGATCTTGATGGCGCTGAAGGCTGCCATCTAGGGTATCGGACCGAACCGTCTTCGACAGATATTTCGACAGCTCTGGCAGACGCAGCGCCGAAGCAGCGGGTTCGTGGCTGCCGAAGAGAAGCGAGAGATCGGACAGCAGCTGCCGGGAGCTGACAGGACGACGCAGTCGAGTGACAACACCGAGGCCTACGTCCTGCTGTAGCGGAGCGGGTTGACCACGGCTCAGCGGACCCAGCTGCCCGCGAGCTGCGGCAACCGCCTACGACCTAAGAAGCTGACGGAGGCCATCAGACAGCAGCTCGATGCTCTACACAAGGCGGCAGGCCGACCGCGACATGGACACGATCGCCGAGAAGGGAAGCACGAGAGGAGGTACGCCTGCCTTGCGGAGTGACACATCGAAGACGAAGCAGAGCCAGAGCCAGACGATGAGCACGGAGACGATGGCGACTACGGCAAAGGCATGACTGATCTTAGCGACGAGCTGAATGAGCTCCAGGAGGGAGTCGAGGCTGGCGACGAGGACGCAGAGGAGCAGCTGGCGGCGCTCAGCGAGTGCCTCGTTGCGGAGCAAGCTGCGTTCATCGCCAGACGGGACCTGTTTGAGATGCAGGACTAGGCCCTGAAGTCCAGTCGTCCCGGGAAGCTGATGAACAACAAGCAGGAGACGGCAGAAGACAGGAAGAAGAGAATCGAGGAGTCCAAGAAGAAGACTCGATGAAGGGTGTGCGGCGCGCTCGGCGGGCAGGAGATTCCTGGCTGTGCTGAGTCGGATCGCACGCCACCGCCGCGAGGAGATCGAGGACGATTCCAACCACGCGGTGGCAAGGGCGGAGGTGGAATGAACAAAAAGGTCGAGGAGGTGGACGAATCCAGAAGAGCTTCTTCGTCGTCAAGGACAGCACGGACGAAGACGCCGAGGAGGCGTGTTTCGTGGCCGGCGTGGAGCACGACAAGGACAAGGACAAGGATAAGAAGCGCTCCATGTCGCCGGAGAACTACTGGATGGTGGACGAGCCGCCAGGACCGACGGTGCTGGGCCCGAGACCGTCGTCATCAGCGGCGGCGGCGGCTGTACCAGGGTCTCCACCGCAGAGCCCGACAGACAGCAAGGGCACGGTCAACGTGGAAGCACCGTGGGAGAGCAGCAGCCGCACGTCTGGCACGGAGGTGTTGAAGAGGTGTGGCAAACCCTGTGGCGTGGCGGATTGCGCGTGTGAAGGTTTCGGCGCATGTATCGGACGAGAGGGTCACACTAAGAGCTGTCGGTGCTGTTCCGATGCGGCAGCGGCGGCGTCATCCAGTGGAGCGAGGGGCAGTGGATTGCATGCAGGCAGAATGTGGATCCCAAGTGAAGTCGGAACGACTACCCACATACGAGCCCCAAAAAAAGGGTTGGAGAGACCATGAGGCCGTCCTGGATCGTGTTGGAGTCCTCATCGGCCGTCATGAGGCCATCTTGGGTGTCTTCGGGGCTTCTTGGAACCGTCTTGGGCCCTCTCGGGAACCCCCTTAGCCTGCCGTGGCTCGTTTCGGGGCGGGCCCGGGCCGTCTCGGGAGCTCTAGGACCCCCCTAGAACCTCTTGGGGTCGCCCATCATGGGGGTACATGCAGCGGTTCGATATATATATATATATATATATATATACATAAACATCTTTATACTCATATAAAATGACATATTACTAATATAGATGTACATACATAAACATATTCATCTACATCTACATATACATCTACACATGCAAATACACATAATCATACACAAACGTATGCATATACATACACATTTACAAGTACCTTCACAGTTGCACATGCACATACATATACATATACACATACACACATACATACATACATCCATACACACACACCTATAGACACAGACACAATCACACACACACACACGTATACACACGACACATACTGTGTACGTATGGTAGTCTCTAAGCCAGTATCTCGGTACGTAAACCGCCTACGTCGCTGCGTGGTGTTCGAGCTACCTGGGCAGCGACAAGACAGCCGAAGGACTCCAGGGGGTACGAGGCAAGCACGGGGCCACCACGAGACAACGTCAGGACATCCTGGGCACCAAACGACTGGCACGAAGCCCAGTAACGTGCTGGCAGAAGATGTGCTGTGCAAGGGCAAGATCTGCCTCGCCCTCGCGCAGCTTCGCACCGCTCGCACGCACGACGCGAGCCAAAGCTGAAACCGACCTGCTGGAGGGAAGGTCTCTCGGTTTCACTTAGATCTCACCCCCAGCCCTCCGATTTCGGCGTGCTGGGAGGGGCCGTCAGAGGGGGGGGTTCTCCAGCTCCTCGTCAGTGGCGGGGCTCTCGCACGCGCTGGGAGCCCTTCCACCGCCTTCGGTCAAGTTCGTAGCCCCCCGTGGCTTGAACGCATGCGTGCCTCCTGATGCACAGCAGGGTCTGAAGATTGACCATCCGCCGACTACCCTGTCGTCGTGTGAGGGGCTGAACAGCTCGAATCGTCCTCTTCGTCATTCGTCAGTCCTCGTCGCTGCCGGCTCCTTTCCCTGGGGCCCCCGTTTCCCTGGGCCCCTCGCCGATTCCCTCCCGTTCTTGGGCCCTCTTCTCCAAGCGGGCCGGCCGAAGGGAAATTGAGTAACGCCGTCATTCAATCGAAGGGAAACCCCTCCCTTTGATCCCTCCGTCGTCGGTGGGGGGATCCCGGGGGGGGGGTCCCAGGGGAGATACGCCTCGGTCCTGGGGGGCTCGCCACCCACATACGCCCCAGATACGCATCCCTCCCGGGGGGCCTCGGGTCCAGCAAAAGCCCCAGGAGCCCCCTCCCTTTGATCCCTCCCCCGTCGGGAGGGGGGGTCCCGGGGGAGATACGCCTCGGTGCCGGGGGGGTCGCCACCCCAATACGCATCCCTCCCGGGGGGTCCTGGGTCCCAAAAAAGCCCCAGGACGGACCAAGAGTGCCCGAAGAGGCCCCCAAGAGGGTTCGGGAGGTCCCCGCATCGCCGAACGATTTGTCCAAGACGCCTTTACGGCCTCCTGAAGACCCATGAGGCCTACAAAACGCCCCCGGAGGCCTCTAGGAGCAATCCCAAGAAGGCGTCCCCAGAAGCAAAAATTCACTGAATTGCCTCAGGTTGCTGAACAAATTCGGCGTTCTCGCCTCTTCCGCTTCCCCACGCTCCAAGACGGCCCCGGAGGCCCCCAAGACAAAGACGGCCCAAAGTCCTCCCAGATGTTCCCAACATGGCCCAAGAGGGCCCCAAGACGGCCCGAGACGCCTCCAAGACAGGCCAAGAGGCACCCCATCTCGAGGCCTCGCCCCCGAGAAGCTCTCAGGAGGCACCCAGAGGCCTCCAAGACGCCCTCGACCTCCTTCTGCTCCAACTCTTCCTCCGCATCCTCCTCCGCAGGCTCTTCCTGATCCTCCCCCTCCTGCTCCACGTCCTCCTCCTCCTCCTCCTCCTCCGACTGCTCCTCCTGCTCTTCCTCCTGTTCCTCAAACTTTCCCTCCTCCTCATTCCCCTCTTCCGCATCCTCCTCCTCATCATCCTCGTCCTCCTGATCATCGTCCTCCTCATGCTCCCCCCTTCTTCGTGTGGTTTTCTTCCTGCCCTTCGCAACCTTACCTCGTCATCGTCCTTTCCATCCTCTTCCTCTTCCTGCCCCTCCCCCTCCCCCTCCTCCGCATCTTTCTTCGCCTGCTCCTCCGACTCCTATTTTCCTCGTCCTCCTCCCTCTCCTGCTGATCCACCGCGTCCTTCGCCTCCTCCTCCTGCTCCTCCCCCTCATCCTCCTCGTCGTCCTCGTCGTCCTCGTCAGGGTCGGCGGCAACGGCCGTAAAGCCTTCACAATAAGGCATGCAAGTGCATCTTGCCCACCATGATCAGGTGTGAGATGTATCCCCCGATCCAGCCTCATTGCTGCACCCTTCCAAACCTACGTACAGGCAATGTGCAAGCCCCCGCCCAACAACAGCCCAAGGAATGTGGGACAGGGAGATGGCCGCGACCTCTGAGGAGGGGAACAATACATGCGATAATGGGGTCTACAGCAATGCGTCTGGGAACAAAAAAACAGAAAGAAGCTGCAAGTCATCGAGAACTGCGAAGGATGGTTTGCAAGTAGTGCGTAGTGGGCAAGGGAAGCAAGGTGTCTCGCGAAGAGAAGGGCCGCACCTCGCATCGAAGCCCAGGTAACTGACCATGCCACGAGACTGGGTGTACTCGCAGCTTGGAGGCCCTGGATACGAAGATACGCGGATGTTAGGGAGCAAATCGTGGGGCAAAGCAACAGTGTACATTGATACCTGTCCTTCTACACCTCTTCCTCCCCCTCCTCCTCCTCCTCCTCTCATCATTCCTCCCCCTCTTCCTGCCTTTCTCCATATCCAAGCCAATACCTCATCCACCAGTTCCTCCCACTACTCCACCAGCTCAAACAGCTCCCCTGTATGACCCTGCCTCGGCTCTTCCTGCATTTCCTCCACATCCTCCCCCTCATCCTTCACCCTCCTTCCCGACCTCGTCATCATCATGTGCTCTGTTCCTCCTCCTCCTCATCCTCCTCGTCCTCGCGTTCCTCCTACCCTCATCGCGTTCCAGTCTCCTCCGCCGTTTTCGACACCTTCGGGTGCCCTGTTGGGTCGTTTTCAGAGCCTCTTGGGGCCCTCTGGTGGCTTTATTCGGTCCTTTTCCGCGTCTTCTTGGGCCCTCTGAGGCCATCTTGGCCCCTCCCACAAACTCCGCGTCGAGGTGAAAGAGGAGCTACCTTAGACTCCCCCTTCTCGCCCTGTTGTACGCCAATGTGGTGACGTCTTCCGATACCATTTGGGGCCGTTTTCGACCCCCGCCCATCCCCCACTCTGGCCTGTTTTTCATGGCCATCCTTCTCCTCCACCGCGCCTCCCACACTTCCCACGCTCCCCAAAAGCGCCTACCGGCGGTCTGTGGCAGCAGCACAACTACCCCAGAGCTGCCCTGATGGATGCATTCAGCTCTTTGGAGCATACGCGCCCGTTTGGCCTCTTGATCCGCGCCTGCACTCACAAAAGGCGCCTTGACTGCAACCACACATACAACTCTCCCACACGTCCACATTATGGGAGGTACAAAGACAATATAGTACTAGATGTCCTCCTTGGAGGCGCACGACCGATCCGACCATATAGTACACCCATCTTGTAGTACATCGATTCCCGAGCGGTGTGGCAAGAAAGCGCCCGCCAAGACGCATATACTATAAGATTTCTCTGTGCGCGCGTTGCCACTGGGGGGGCGACGCACATATAGTATAAGTATGGCGGGGTGGCACCAGAGGGGATTGCAGCAAGTTTGGTCTCGAGGATTCGAATCCTTAACACGATCCATTCACATTGCTCTATCGCACTGATAACTCACCCTATTCCAAGACGCAAATCCTGAGCACCAATCCGTAACACTATCCCTTACATAACGCTCATCCATAACAGTATTCCTTCACGCGTACTCATAACACGCATCCCGTATACGAATACGTAACACTAATCCACGCACACATACTAAACACTAAACCTTAGCAAGAATCCTCAACACTACTTTGCCGCCCTGGGATCCAAGCCCGCCCTCCAAGCCTTTCTGGACCCTCTGGGGTCACCGTGGACACCCCCGCAGAGAAACTCCGGGTTCCCAAAACAGTGGGGCGTTGACTCAATAACCATTACCCTCCATCCAAGAGGCACCTACTGTTGATGCACCAGAGGGCCTGGCAACAAGGCGGTCTGTCCTCTCACCTCCGCATCTCCCTTTTGTTCCTCGTGCCTATCCGCTTTCTCTGCCTCCTCCTTCTTCTCCTCCTCCACCTTCTTCTCGTGCTCCTCCTCTGAGATTATCATCATCATCCTCGACCTCGTCCTCGATCTTGTCCTCGACCTCGTGTTCGACCTTGCCGTCGTCATTATGTCAGTGTCGTGGACCCTACTTTTCTCCCTCATAGAAATGGAGAGCGGACGAGTCCTGACAGGCTCTGCAAGGCAAACAAGATCAATGCTGGTGGCGTCAGTGTTGCCCTCGAGCAGCTCCGCCTGATCAGCAGCTCCACCCGGTGGCGCACCTTGGTCAGGTCTCTCTCTCTCTCTCTGACGCGCCAAGCTATTCCTCCGCAGCGTTGCGCCGAGGAGGGATGCGCTTGGTTTGGAAACGTGTGCCTTCAATGCATCAGAGCATCAGGGCATGCTGGGTGCGAGCGGCGAGTGGCCAGGAGCTTTCCGATCCCTGTCACAACGAGTGCCTGCGTGGTGCACGGTGGTCATATAATGCAATCGCACTCGGCACAGAGAAGGTGGCGCGCGAAATTGTCACCTCAATCTTGACAAGTCGCGGCCCTCTGGGCGAAGGTGGTTTAACGAATGTTCTCTTCCCTCTACCCAGAATCCCTCCTTCCCCTGCTCGGGGGAAGGATGTGTCACTTTCCCCTGTTAATATACACCTCCCCCCCCATGCGGCCGACGGCCAACCAAGAACCATGCGCGGACCCCCCCCCACCACCCGACAAAAAACATTACAAAACGCACTCTGCCTGCACATTTGGAGCATGCGCGGCCAACTCGATGCGGCACTCCCCCACCATCCATGTCAAGAAACAATACGAATTATAGTTTTGGGCACAGTCTTGAATCATGCTCGTGAGGCCCGCGAGCACTTTGTATTGTTTTTGACACGGACGGCGGGGGTGTCAGCATATTGCCTGCTGCTCGCAGGGCTACCATCCCTAACACAAACCTACACATAATGCACCTCGCGGCTAAATCTGGATCATGCGCGGCCACCCCGCGATCACTGTCAAGTGGTTCTTGACAGGAACGGCGGGGGGTGAGGCGTATGGCCTGCTGTGCGCAGGTCCACCAGACACAATGATGGGCATTGGTTTTCGACAAGGATGGTTGGGGCCGACATGTTCCCGATGTGCCGATGTGTGCTGTCACGTGCGCAGGCGCACCTGACACCCTCCGCACGTGCCCCGAACGTGGCGCACCTGGCGCGGCTGGAGTATGCGGCACACCTCGCGCACGCGGAGCACGTGGCGCATCTGGCGCACCAGACGTGCCTGTCACGCTCGGGCCCCAGGGGTGCCTGGCGCGCGTGGCGCGCCTGGCACGCGTGGCGCACCTCGCCCCAGCGTCGCGCACATGGGGTCGGTTTTGGTTCCCAGGAGCTGCCCATCCAAAGTCGACCACTGAACTTTACTTGCTCATGCTCGGGTGTTGCTTTATTTGTTGAAGGGGCGGGTGGGAGTCTAGACGGCTTCCGGGCGGGTGGGTAGCTTGACCCCTCCCCGTACACCCTCCCCTGGGTTTGGACGGGGCGCCCCGCGAGGGATTAGAGCGTCCAAGGTGGCCCAGGATTGCCCCAAGAGGGCCTCAGAGAGCCCAAGATGGTCTCCAACATGGCTTAAGATAATCGAAAATGCATCAAGAAAGCGTCCGACATACCTCCAAAGAGGCTCCAAGACTGCCTCAAGGCGATTTCAAGTGCTCTTCGAGCCGCCAAGGGGAAGCCTCCAAGAAGCCAAAATGGCTCCCAAACCTAAAACATCCATGTTGTGCCTCTTCTCGCACTTTCGCTTCCGATGGGCTCTTGAGGCCTCACAAGACGGCCGACGAGAGCACCAAGGGACACAAGACGGCCCCAAGAGCGCCCAAGAGCGCCCCAAGAGCGCCCCAAGACAGCACCAAGACGCTACGTTTGAGCCTACAAGGGTGCAGCTGAGTTTAGGACCCTCCTCTTGTTTAACAGTGGGGCCCAAAAGTGCCCCAAGAGGCCTCCCAGACACCCCCAAAGAGTCCCAAGAAGGCCCACTCCTAAAGAACCCCAAGAAGGTCCCGAGACTGCCCCAAGTGGCTCCGCGAGAACCCCACGAGAGACCCAAGATGGCTCAAAGAGACCTCCAACAAAACACTTGTCAAGGTGGCTGTTACACTGCATGTTTTTCAAGTCCCTGATCAAGGCAACTCGCCTGATGTACTGGTGGGCATACTGTTTGGGTCGCGGCCGCAAGCGAAGGCGCAGGCGGCGTCAGAAGTCGTCCTGGGCTACGGGCGCTGGTGGGCACACTTTTTCGTCGCAGCCGCAAGCGAAGGCGCAGGCGGCGTCAGAGGTCAACCTGGGCTACGGGCGAAGCCTAATTACCCAGCGAGCGCACTCACGGCTGCCGAGGCTGCCGCCGAGGGATGCTGAACTGGTGGGCGTTTTTTTTTTGCTCGCGAGCGAACCGGAAGAGCCGCACGCCGTCAGAAGGTCGCTAAGCAAGTCTGGTGGGTGTACTTTTTGATCGCGACCGCGAGCGGGCACTCGCGCGGCGTCGGGAAGGTACTCTGGTGGGCGTATTCGAAGCGTCAAGAATTTGAACCTCAATCTTGATAAGTCGCAATGCCCTTAAACGTCCAGGGAAGGGGTTTCGAAAGTTCACTCTAAAAGTGAGATTCCGAGAAGCCCTAGCTTGAGCCTCGCTCTGTTTAGTCCGCATCCCTGAGACTACGATCCCTCGTACAAAAACATGGGGCACGCGCGCCGGAGGCCACAGAGCCATGGGCCATGGGCCCACATCCCCGAGGGCCCAAGAAAGAGGCATCTGCGCTACCGAGGCCACGATGTCTGGTCAACGAAGAACAAATGGTCCGCGCCCCCGAGGATGCATGGTTTCGCCCAGGCCGTAGGCGACCCGAAGAGGAGGAGGAGGAGGAGGAGGAGGTGGAGGAGGGGGAGGGGGAGGAGATGGGGGAGGAGGAGGAGGAGGAGGAGGAGGAGGAGGAGGAGGAGGAGGAGGAGGAGGAGGAGGAGGTGGAGGAGGGTCGCCTAAGCCCTCCGGAGAAACCCTCCAACCGAAGACACGACTCCTTGTAAACAAAGAGGACGGGTCCTGGCGCACGAGGCCACAGTCCCTCGCACCCGTCGGCCGGACGAAGTGGGTACTGCGGGTTCGTGTCGTGTCGAACCCGAAGTTGGTTTCTGACAGCGCGGGGATCATTCAACCTTGAACGATCGACGGCTTCTCGATCGCCAGATCATTCAATATGGGCCGATTTTGGGCCACTGGCGGCGTTCAACCTTGAGCGCCCGCGCTGAGGTCGCCACCGGTCGACACGACGTGAGCGTACCGTAGAAACACTGCGTAGAAGGCGGTGAAAGTAGAGTGGGCGTCCCCCCGCCACCTGGAGGGGAGGAGCAAGGGAAAAACGCTCGTTGAATGAAGTAGGAAGGCGCCTAAATTAGAGTGGAACCTGGGAATCCCAAATACCTAATTTCAACGAACGGCATGTTAACATGACGAGCTGGTGAATGCTCGGCCTCCACTATTCAACCAGCCGGCAGACAATCCAACCAGCCGGCATCCCTACCGCGAACAGGCTGGCGAACGAGCCAAGCAGCAAGCCGGACGACCAGCCAACCAGGCGAGTTACCAACCTGCTGGCAAATCGGCCAATCAACCAACCAGCCAACCCGACCAACGTAATTAGCCATGCGGAGCAAACCACCGCCGCGTCGCCAGCATCAGAGTCGCCGTCGGGTCGCCGGGGACCGAAAGGCCACAGGCGCTTCCTGGGAGTCGCAGCCGCCCAGTATCCGCCGGGGCCTGGGTCGGGGTCGTCGTCCCATGGCCTTTAGGAACATAGAAAACCGACACCGACACCAACAGGTAGCACCAGCGGGAGGAGCCAGGGAGTGGGCCCCCCTCTCGCTCGAGACATGTCCTATTTCCCAGATCGGAGAGGCATCGTGGACCTCCTCGCTGGAGGTGGCCCCCTGGTGGTGTTGATGTCGCTTCTCCTTCCCCCCATGGCCAGGGCAAGGTTAGATCCGGGCAAAGGGGGTCTTTCGTAATGGGGTCGCAAAAAATCGAAGTGCAATAGTTCATCCTTTGACGCATGGCAGCCACGTGCTGATATGGCAAGACGTACTCCTCCTCCCGCACGAAGGACTGCACGAACTGTTGCATACATGTTCGAGACCCCCTTTGCAAAGGCCCCATTAACCTTGAAGCAAAATAAGAAGTAGCACGAAGCACTCCAAAACAGTCAAAAGTAGTCAAACAAATCGTCCCCAGGCTATTGTTAGACTATTCTTGGATATCCCTCCTGTAGAGGGACAGGCCCGACTTGACATCAGCATGCGTCCGACAGGGGCCGCCGCCGCGTCGCCAGGGCCGGGGTCTCGCCGCCGGGCCGCCGAGGCCGCAGCGTCGCCGGGCCGCCGGGGTCAACAAATAGTCGGGGGGGGATGTTTGACCATGTTTGGTGTTTTAGATATTTCGGGCTTGATTAAAACAAATCCGTCCAAAATCCGCCTGTAGGGGGACATGCCCGACCTAACCCCCAAGGACAAAGAAACAAACGCACGCAGATCCCAGGACTCCCCCCATCTGTTTCCGAATTTTCTGGACGTTCGGATCTTCCCCCTCACTTCCCCCAGTGTCCAATCTTTTCCTGGGACTCGGCGATCCCTCGTGTCCGTATGTTTTTCCCCGGCCTGATTCATGGGGGGGCGATAAATGCGAGGGGGGAGAAGCGTGCAGCCGTCGTGCCCCTCGTGGGTTTCAGGAGGGGCCCCTGCAGGGCCATTTTGGGTCGCAGAAGAGGTGCACCCTGGGCGGAGCCTCCACAGAAGGGAAGGCGCGTGTCGCGCTGGCGTTCGCATGCTTGCGGCGGCGAGCACGGCGACGGAGACCCATCGCAGAGATGCGATCGACCTCTGCACTGCCACGTCGTCTCCGATCCCGTCAGGATACCAAGAGGAAGCGAAGCTCACTGGCATCGCCCTCCCATGCATCGCACCCCTTCCCCCCCCAATACCTGCGCCACGCCCGTGCCGCTGCCGCTGGGGACAGGGGCCGGGGCGGCCGTCGAACCGCCGAGGTCTGGGCCGTCGCCTCCCGGCCAGACGCCGGGGGGCCGCCGTCGGCGGCCGCCGAAGTCTGGGTCGTCGCCTCCCGGCCAGACGTCGGGGCCGCCGCGTCTTGGGCGCCGTTCCCTCGGGGGGGCGATACTCGGCAGGGGGACGAGAGGTGCACTCCTCGGGCCCGAAAGGCCCCCTTGCGGGGCCCCAAGGGCCCCTAAAGGGGCCCCTTGAAGGGGCCCCCTGTTCTGGAGCCCTCGCTGCCCCACCCCCATCCAGTCGCCCCCCAATCACAGCTGGCCCGTCTCACAAGGATGCGCGACAATACACGGATGCCAAGGGCCTTGGACGCCCACTTCGAAGCGATCGCGCCACCAGGGCGCGCCGGTGTGGCCACGGCGCGCCGAGCTCAGCCGCCAAGCGTCCCGAGAGGCCGGCGGTTGCCCTGCGACCTGCCCCGCCGGCTCGCGGAGGGGCCCTCGTCGGTGCTCGCCAGGCTCTCGACGCGACCCTGCGCCTCCCCCTCCTCCTCCCCCTCCTCCTTCTCCTCCTCCTCCTCCTCCTCCTCCCTCCTCCTCCTCCTCCTCCTCCTCCTCCTCCCTCCCCCTCCTCCTCCTCCTCCTCCTCCTCCTCCCCCTCCTCCTCCCTCCTCCTCCTCCTCCTTCCTCCTCCTCCTCCTCCTCCTCCTCCTCCTCCTTCTCCTCCTCCTCCTCCTCCTCCTCCTCCTCCTCCTCCTCCTCCCAATTTATGGTGGTGGTGGTGGAGAACAAGCTCATCACGACAGGTTGGATCGGCGGTCGACGCGAATTGCATCGGCGGGAATCGGCGGCCAAGTCGGGAGAAGTCGGATCTTCGGAACTCCGCAGGGTGGGGTTAAGGCCTCCTCGGGCACACCGTAATCCAAACTGGAGTCCGAAATCAAATCGACATTTGAATCGATCGAAATCGAATCAAATCGAGTCGAGTCGAGGAGTCGAGTGAAAACCGAAATCGAATCGAAATTGGAATCGAGTTGGAAAAATCGAAACGAGTCCTGGGATGGGGCTGCTTGCACAAGCTGCCTGGCGGAATGATCTCAGGGTGCCCCGTGCGGTGTTCACTGCAGAAGCGTGGGGGGGAGCATCTGAGACAGTCGAATAATTGAACAGCGTGGACCCCAAGGAATGATGTTATGCTACATACGCGATGCAATGAACAGCAACACAACGCAATGCACAGCAAGCGAGGGCAGGAACGACAAAGCATAGCAATGCAAAACAATCGAACTCCATCCAGCAATCAAGGCAGTGCAAAGACATGCAGCGACGGAGAGCCCACGGGCGGCAACAGGCCGAGTGCCTGGCGAACATCTCCAGAACCTTGCAACGAAGTGAGGAAGCCTTACGCGTCGGTCGGAAGACGCAGACAGAAACATGAAGTAGAAAGGCGTTTGAAAAATATTGGGTCTCCGCCCGCCCCCAGAAGAGGAGGGAAGAGGGACAACTGCTCGCCTCTTGAAGTAGGACGGCGGCCTAAGTAGATTGGGATCTGGAGATCCAGAAAGACTTTCAACGACCAGCGGGTCGTGTAGGCGCTGGCTAGGAAATACATGGCAGTGCAATGCAATGCAGAGCAACGCAGAGAACTGCAAAGCAATGCAGAACCATGCGACACGCAGCGCGCGAAAAACCATGCAACGCACTGGAGACCAAGGCAACGCAAGGCGGAGCCATGAAGGGCAGAGCGCACAGATCCGCAGCAGCGCACTGCGCTGCACAACAAGGCACAGCCATGTAGCACGAGGCAGCGCAAACGAACGCAAGCCAGTGCAAACCGACGTGAAACCGCGGGGCGGCCACGGGGCGGCCACGGGGCGCCCACGGCACGGCACTCCCTGGATGTGAGGAGAACCGTTCGGGGCGGCCACCGGGGGCCAATGCAAACCGAGGTGCAACAACGGGGAGGCAACGGGGCGGCAACGGGGCGCCCACAGCTCGGCACTCCCCAGGGCAGATGGAACCCCTCGGGGCGGCCACGGGGAGGCCACGGGGCGGCCACGGGGGCGCCCACGGGCCGAACAGCCATGACGCGCGTGCGACAAGCACGAGGCCCTTCGCGCAAGCACCGCTGAAAGCACTGGGGGACGCAATGATGGGATCAAGGCGGGATGTTTCTGGAAGAAGGGAAAACGGCATAAACATAAACTTTCGTCGTTCCGCGCGGATCTCTTGGATCTGCGCTGGACCCGCCTCCCTGGCGCGCGGAGCGCGCCAGGAGCGGCGCCGGAGGCCCCGCGGGAGGTCCCAGCGCGGAGCCAAGAAATCCGCACGGAGCGCCACAAGTTCACGTTTATGCCTTCTCGTTCTTCTTCTTCGAGTTCCAGTAGGGGCAATCTTGTGCAGTCGACTCGTCTCGAATCGAAGGAGAAACGGGCCAGGGAAAGGTGGAAGCCAGCGAGCCTTCCGACGGTCGATCGTGGGGCACGTTCGTCCTCAGCGCCTGCAAGCCCGAATCGCTCATCCACCCTCGGATTCCCCATGCGTCTAAGCGGGGCACCCCACCATTGCCATCCGGCCCCCTCAACAAAATACTCCAGTCTCCAAGAGGTGACCCACTGAGGTGTAATCATGAAGCTAGCATTGCTGCCAGCCGCTCGCGATATTGCAAAATAAGCCAACAGTTGCAACAAACGATTGGTCTCCTCACAATTCTTGCCGCCCAGAATATCTCCAGGTGCCAACTTCACCAACCCAACGTCTTCGTGCGTCTCCACGGAAATTGTCTCCGCCAAAGCCCGATTCGTTCGGTCGATAAGCTCTTGAAAATATCTGACTTTCTGGTCTCGGGACATGTCCTCGTAGACGAGCAGCTCGGGTGGTATCATCCAGCCCTGCTCGCCTGCGCCCAAACAAGCCATATCGTGAACCAAGCTTACACTTAAATCGTACACCAAGCGCACTGCTGGCCTGACGAACATCTTGTCCTGAATGCCATGTTTTCCAGTTTCGCCGCCTCTCAGCATGGCACCACTCGTCATTACCTGAGGACCACGATATGTGTCATTACGAGCGTCACCACCATCACCGTCGCTGCCCTCGGAAATTGAAGCCGTAGCCTCGTCAGCAAGAGGAGATGCCAAATTCGATCGACGGGCATCGACCTGTTCCAAGGGACATGTGCCCGGGGGGCATCCCTGCCGCCCCAGACATGCAAGATCTTCCACGGCCCAATCTGCGGCTGGAGCGAAACTGCTACATCTGCGACCCTCCAGACCGGGAGTGCGCCGTAGTGGAAGGAGGAAGCGGGAAAAGGAAGCAGGGGGAGATCGAGGTGGGGGATAATTAGTTATGGAAGGGGAGGAAACACAAAAAGAGGAGGATTTGGAATGTTACTCCCGCATGGGCCCACGAGGCTGTCCGAACCTGCCTCGGAATTACCCGATGGCGCACCAACCCGGTTTTAACATGAGGGGGCAATATCCAGGATCGCTCCATGTAATGGGAAACTTTCAAGGGTCCGCAGTGCCTCTGATCGCCTCGAAAGAGGAAATCAACCTCCTAGGAGCCCACGGAAGTGCCGACAGTTGCACAGATGGCAGCCCATCAGTGTGCTGCGACGTCTAGTCTGGGTCTGCGTGGGGCACCGCTCCACTGAACCTCGCAGGAGCCCACGAACGTGGCGACAATCTCGCAGTTCGCAGCCCCCAGGGCGCCGCGAGTTCTAGTCTGGGCCTGCGTAAGGCACCACCCCGCCAGACCTCCCTGGAGCCCACGAACGTGGCGACAGCTTCGCAGTTCGCAGGCCGCCCGGGACGATGAGGTATCATTCTGATTTGAGTGGGACACCACTCCGCTGGACCTCCCGGGAACCACCAAAGTGGCGACAATGTCGCGAGTCGCATCGCCCCAAAGTACTGCGAAGTCTCACTCTGAACTGCGTGGGACACCAGCCCGCCGGACCTCCCAGGAGCCCACGAACGTGGCGACAGAGGGACAGTTTCGCAGTTCGCAGCCCCCCAGGGGCGACAAAATCTCATTCCCATCCGCGTGTGACACCACTCCGCTGGACCTCCGAACGTGGCGACAACTGCGCAATTCGCAGCCCCCAGGGACGGCGAGGTCTCATTCTGATCCGCGTCGGACGCCACTCCGCTGGACCCGCAGGAGCCCACGAGCGTGGCGACGGTTTCGCAGTGCGCAGACCCCCAGGGAAAGCGTGTTCTCCTTCTGATCCGCGTGGGACGACACTCCGCTGGACCTCCCAGGAGCTCACGAGCGTGGCGACAACTGCGCACTTCGCAGCCCCACAAGGACGGCGAGGTCGCATTCTGATCCGCGTGGGACGTCGTTCGGCTGGATGGCCCCAGAGCCCGCGAAAGTGGCGACAGCTTCGCAGTTCGCAGCCCCCCAGGGACGGCGAGGTCTCCTTCTGATTCGCGTGGGCCACCACTCCGCTGGACCTCCCAGGAGCCCATGGAAATGGAGGGTGCAGAGTTCGCAAACCCCCAGGGACGGCAAGGTCTCATCCTGATCCGCACGAGGGCACCACTCCGCTGGACCCACCAGGAGCGCACGAAAATTTTGACAACTGCACACTTCGCGGACCCTCGAGGACGGCGAAGTCTCACTCTGTGCCGCGCGGGACGACACCCCGCGGGATCTCCCAGGATCCCACGAAAGTGGCGACAGCTGCGCAGTTCGGCCCCCCCAACGACGGCGAGACTCATTCTGGTCCGCGTGGGACGCCACTCTGGCAGACCTCCCAGAAGCCCACGAACGTGGCGACAGCTGCGCAAATCGCATACCCCCAGACAACGCGAGGTCTCATTCTGATCCGCGTGGGACGCCACTCCCTGGAGCTTCCCAGGAGCCCACGAAGGTGGCGACAGTTGCGCAGCTCGCAGCCCCCCCATGGACGGCGAGGTCTCATTCTGACCTGCGTGGGACACCACCCCGCCACACCAGGAGCCCACGAACGTGGCGACTGTGGAACAGTTTCGCAGCCCCCCCAGCATGGCGAAATCTCATTCTGATACGCGTGGGAAGCCACTCCACTGTAACCCCCACGGGCTCACGAACGTGGCGACAGTTCGCAGACGCCCAGGTAGCGCGAGCAGGAGGAAGGGACAAGCAGGGGAGAGGATGAAGAGGAAGGAGCAAGAGGGCAGAGAGAAGGGCGGCGGGAGGAGGAGGAGGAGGAGGAGGAGAAGGAGAAGGAGCCGCGCGAGCGGTGCTCAAGTCAAGAAGAATATCCAGCCAGAGGGGAACACAACGATGCAAGTCTTTGGGTGATGGCCAGGCCCATCTGCCACGACTTCACGAGCGGGGCCACACGGTCGCTGATCGTGCTCCTCAACCCAAACATCCAGCGGCTCGAAGTTTTTCGATGCGTGGGCCCAGAAGGTCTGGAACAGTTCACCAGGGCCGGTTTTTCGTCCCGAGTAGTTTTGTTGACGGTCCCGAGGCCCGGTGAAGGCCCCTCTTGGCCGACAACTGCCCCAAACCCGCCGCTCAACATTTTGGTGGAACGCCGGACTCGGGCGCTGGCAGAACTGGGTTTAGTAGGACCTGGCTTAGTGATGTGTACTGGAAGACGCCCCTCCGCCCCGTTCCACTACCCGGAACGGCCGTCACCCGAAAAAACACGAGCTACGCCAGACCTGGTTCAGAAATCCCGGCCAATTCAGGGGCTCCGAGGCCCTACCACTAACCGGTCCCTTTGCCTGGGGTCCTGGCTATACCCGACGGGTCTCTGGGTGCACTCACTACTCGGAAACGCCACGTCCTGCGTGTGCACCAGGACGCCGTCGGAGGGGCCCACGGCCAGCCCGAGCAGCTCGTACGTCTGCCGCCACCTGCCCGAGCAGGGCAGCCGGCCCTGCAGGCTCACGGCCACCACGGCGGTGGAGGAGCTGGATAGAAGAAGAAAGCACGCCATAAACATGAACTGCTGGCGCTCCGCGCGGATTTCTTGGATCTGCGCTGGATCCGGGGGGGCCCAGCGCGGATCCAAGAGCGCCAAAAGTTCGTGTTTATGGCGCGTTTCCTTCTTCGACTGGAGCCCCCCGACTCCGTCAAGTCGCCGCTAGGGAGGCTGATCTCGAGGTACTCGTCGCCGCCGCCCGCCTGGCGGGCCGGAGGAGGAGGTGGGGATCGCGCGTAGCAGGGGGGTGGCAGATCAGCTCTCAGGTGTAGCTGGTCTTCCCAGCGCGCCCCACGGCGACGCGGACCGCCAGCGTGTCGAGGCCGACGCCCGGCTGCGGGCCCGAAGCTGGCTGCATGCGGCCGACGTCGTGCACCCCGCTTCAACTAACTCTGGCCCAGGTTCCCGCTTTGGAGGGTCGCTGAATGTGTCCCTGGCCCGGGCTGCCCCCAGCGTTTCGCTCCGCTTTGGAGCCCATGTGAGGCCCTGCAGGACTCGTGAGGGGTGCTCTAGAGGCCGTGGGGGCCTGCTCGGAAATCCTGGGGATGCCTTGGGCCAGGGACACTCCTGGCAACGCCCGACCCCTCCGTCCGACCCGAGCCTCCGGGAACCAGCCGCCATGTGCCGTCGACTGCTTCAGGCGGGCACTCCTTGGGAGACAAGAAATCGGCGCCGCGCGCACTCGTCTTAATTCAACCATTTGCAAGAGCTTCACGGACAGAGGGCGGTTCCTTTTCAAAATGTGGCTCTCGCCTTCACGCCGCGCACATTCGTCTTAAGGGGTTGCAGCAGCTTCTAGGACTCGTATGGCTGACGTCCCAGAGGTTCTGCTTTGGCACAATCTAGGACTGTCAGGGCGCACCAGTCACGCTGATTCGCGGTGTCGAAGTCCACGAGATGGTTTTCTGGCCCGATTCAGGACCGCTCAGACGCAACAATAACATTGATTCGCGGCGTTGACGTCCCAGGTATGGTGTTCCAGCACACTGTTCAGCATGTTCAGACGGCTGTCTTCCAACGGGGCACTTCCAACAATGAACCTACATGCCTGTCAGGACCTCTGAAGAAGGAATTTGGAAGGAATGTTTATTGTAAAATCGTTGCAGAAGTTCTCTTCTTGGACGTCCAAATTATCGGAGATAACTGCGGTCCGGGATAATTCTGGCTTGGACCCCCGAAGCTCGAGCCCGTAGCTACCCCTGACTGCCTCCAACACCGATTATTCGGTAAAGTTAGACGCCCGAATCATCCGGGATCCGCCGACCCCTTGGGGATCATCGGCGTGTGAGATGCTTCCCCCTCCCCAAACCCCTCCCCCGGGAGCCCGGTCCGGTCGATTTGGAGGGGGGGGGGGGGTCCGGGACGAGCGCTCCGGAGGGGGGGGGGGGTCCGGGACGAGCGCTCCACGGGGCTTTTCCTGGCCCAAGAGGGCTTCAAGACGGGCCACGAAGCCCCCAAGAGGCCTCCAAGACGGCCCACGAAGGCTCCGAGAAGCCAAACGACCGCTCCAAGACGCCCACGATGGCCCCAAGACGGGCCAAGAGGTCTCCAAGACGGCCCCTGAGGTCCCAAATGAGCCTCCCAAGAGGGCCCAAAGAGTCAAAAATTGCTGATTTTCCAGAGTGTTTTTCTATGTTTTTTGCTTTTCCGCCTTTCCGGCTTCCCGACGCTCCAAGACGGGCAAAGAGGCCCCAAAGATAGCCCTAAGATGGCCCAAGAGGCCCCCAAGACGGCCTCCAGACGGCCCAAGACGGCCCCAAGACGGCCCAAGAGGTCCCCAAGACGGCCCAAGAGGGCCGATTTGGAGGGGGGGAGGGGGCCGGGACGAGCGCAGCACGGCCGGGACGAGCGGTTCCAGGGCTTTTCCGGGCCCAAGAGGGCCTCAAGACGGGCCAAGAAGGCTCCAAGAGGCCTCCAAGACGGCCCACGAAGGCTCCGAGACGCCAAACGACCCCTCCAAGACGCCCAAGATGGCCCCAAGACGGGCCAAGAGGTCTCCAAGGCGGCCCCCGAGGTCCCATACAAGTCTCCCAAGAAGGCCCCAAGAGTCTAAAATTGTTGATTTTCCATAGTGTTCTTCGACGTTTTTTGCTTTTCCGCCTTTCCGGCTTCCCAACGCTCCAAGACGCGCGACGAGGCCCCAAAGATAGCCCCAAGATGGCCCAAGAGGCCCCCAAGACGGCCTCCAGACGGCCCAGGACGGCCCCAAGACGGCCCAAGAGGTCCTCAAAACGGCCCAAGAGGGCCGATTTGGAGGCGGGGAGGGGGCCAGGACGAGCGCAGCACGGCCGGGACGAGCGGTTCACGGAGCTTTTCCGGGCCCAAGAGGGCCTCAAGACGGGCCAAGAAGGCTCCAAGAGGCCTCCAAGACGGCCCACGAAGGCTCCGAGACGCCAAACGACCCCTCCAAGACGCCCAAGATGGCCCCAAGACGGGCCAAGAGGTCTCCAAGACGGCCCCCGAGGTCCCAAACAAGCCTCCCAAGAGGGCCCCAAGAGTCTCAAATTGTTGATTTTCCATAGTGTTCTTCGACGTTTTTTGCTTTTCCGCCTTTCCGGCTTCCCGACGCTCCAAGACGGCCAAAGAGGCCCCAAAGACAGCCCCAAGATGGCCCAAGAGGCCCCCAAGACGGCCTCCAGACGGCCCAAGACGGCCCCAACACGGCCCAAGAGGTCCCCAAGACGGCCCAAGAGGGCTCCAAGACGGCACCACGAGGGGCCCAAGAGGGCGACCAAACATGTTGAAACTCTAGCTTTCTGCCCCCAGGAGCCCCAGGGGGCCCCAAGAGTGCCCCAAGAGGCCCCCAGAGGCCCTCACGAGGCCGCCCAGACGCCCCAAGGAACCCCCAAGAAGCACCCCAGAGGCTCCGAAACGGCCCCCGAGTGGCTCCAAAACTCGCAGTGTCGCTGTCCGCTCGGACCTCCCCGCGGAACTGCCCGAGACCCTCTGGCGGTGGCGGCGAACAGACACCAAACAAATATCACTCGCCTTTTCACCCCTTCGCAGCTTCTACTACCCCCAGATTGGCATAAACAAGGGGTCGGCGGTGTGGCGTAAGCCTAAGGATAACTGCGGTCCGGGTTTGGTCTGGTTTGGAACCCCGAGGCGCGAATCTGTAGCTACTCCTGACTGCCCCCAACACTGATCATCCAAATCCCCGACGTCATGATTTTTTCGAAACGTCGACCCCCAGAGGTCTCGAACCGTTCACTGGGATCGGCTTTTCATCCTGAGTCGTTTCTTCGCGGTCCCGAAGCCCGGTAACGGCCCGCAGGGGCCGAAGGTCGCGACAAACCTCCCGTCGTGATTTCCTCATGGCTCGCAGGGGTCTGGGCACCCGGGGCTCTGAACCTCCTCTCCTTCCTCCTCCTCCTCCTCATCCTCCTCCTCCTCCTTCCTCCTCCTCCCCCTCCTTCCTCCGCTGTACTCCTGGCCGCAGCGGCGTTCGAGGAGGCGCCGAGGCAGCCGTCGGGCAGCTCCGAGCTCGCGAGCCCCAACGTGGCGAGCAGGGGCGGCCGGCCCGCAGGGTCGGGCGGCTCTGGCTCGGCCTCCTCGCGGAGCTCGGCGGCCAGCGAGTCCTGCGGGCGCTGCCTGCACGTCGGTCGAACTGAAATAGGTAACTACATGAAGTAGGAAGGCGGATCAGCTTCTTTGGGTCCAGGCCCCCCCAGAGAGCATGTGCGCAACTGTTTGCATGGACCTTTCCCGCCGTGGGTGACTAGGCGTAAGAATCTCCGGACATACTAGGCGGGCATAGGATTGAGGCAACAGAAAAGGCGCAGAATATCGCACCGCGCCCTAGCAGAAACCCAATATATAGGAACATAAGCGAACACACATAGAATTGGAGCCATTCGTGTGGCCTCCTGGGGCCTCCTGTGGCTTCCTGGAACCTCTCGGAGCCTCCTGGGGCCTCCTCAGACCTTCTTGGGCGTCCTGGGGCCTCCTGGGGTTTCATGGTCTCTCCTGGAGCCTCCTGGGGCCTCCTGGGGCCTCCTGAAGCATCCTGGTGCCTCCTCGAGCCTCCTGGGGAAGATTCGTAGAACACATAGGAGAGGCGCAATCTACAGGAACATGCGTAGAACACACAGGATTTGAGACACCGGAGAGGCCCAATCTATCGGAACCTGCGTAAAACACTTAGGATTGGAGCCACAGGGGAGGCAGGGCAACTTAGAAGGACATCAATAAAACACCAAGGGTTCGACCTGAACGCGAACGAGTGAGTCCGCCAAGCCGCTCGAGACAGCCTCGCAATCTGGGCCCCCTGGGGTGCGAAAAGCAGCGCCTCGCCCTGCTCCGAAATGGGAGGATGTCGGGGGCGCAAACAGGCAAACCGCTTGAGGCATCCCCGCGATCTGAGCGCGAACGGAAGACTGAGATACCCCTGAAACCAGCGCCTCGCCCGAGACATCCTCAAACTCTGCTCTGAACGCAGACGAGTCCGGCCACCAAAACAGGCACACCGCAGGAGACATCCTCGCAATCTGGGCCCCCCTGAGGTGCGACAGCCAGCGCCTCGCCAGAGACATCCTCAAAATCTGCTCAGAAAGCTGAGGATGATGGTCATGCAAACAGGCAAACCACTCGGGGCAACCCCACAAGCTGGGCCCGAACGGAGGAGTGAGATACCCCCTAGTGCCCCCCCTTGGATGTGCGACAACCAGCCCCTCGCCCGAGACATGCTCAAACTATGCTCCGAAAACGGAAGATGCGGGGGGGCAAACAAGCAAACCGCTCGAGGCATCCCCGCAATCTGGGCGCTAATGAAGAGGGAGATACCCCCTGGCGCCCCCCTATGTGGGGGTGCAGAAACCAGCGGTTCGCCCGAGACATCGTCAAAGTCTGATCCATCATCATCATCATCATCATCATCATCATCATCATCATCATCATCATCATCATCATCATCACCATCATCATCATCATCATCATCAGCATCATCATGCTCATCACCATCACCATCCTCATCATACTCATCAGAAGTATTAACATCAGCTGCATCAACAGAACCAGTAGCATCATCATACTTATCATCATCATCATAATCATCATCATCTTCATCGTCAACAGCATCATCATATTCGGCATCGCCATCGTCATCGTGATCGTCATTATTATCATCACCACCACCATAATGAACATCGTCATCATCATCACCACAGCCATCACCATCAATATCATCAACCATCGACAACCTCAACATCACCGACATCATCATCATCATCACCATCAGCATCAACAGCATCAGCATCAGCATCGTCGTCGTAAACGCTCGTCGTCAGAATCATGTCGTCGCATGAGTAGTGACCCTGAGTGTGACTCTGAATTGCAGTGAGAAGTGGGGACGATGAGGAACCCAGTCCTTAGGATGCGGGGAATAGTTGTTCACTGCGTGGAGCTCCCCGTATGTGCATAACTATACTAGCATGGACCTTTTTCCGCCGTGGGTGTCTTAGCGCAGAAGACTTCGAACATGAATTGGTTTGAGTATTGATAGATGAAGAGTGCGTCTAACTGCGAATGAGTTGGAGTGCAAATACATCTCAATAGAACAAATGAAACTTTGCGCATGCGCCTGGGGTCTCCTGGGGCCTCCTGGGGCTTCCTGGGGTCTCCTGGAGCCTCCTGTGGCGTCCTGGGGCCTCTTGGGTGGTCCTGTGGCCTCCTGCTGGTGCCTCCTGTAGCCTCCTGGATACTCCTGGGGCCGCGTGTGGCCTCCTGGGGCCTCCTGGAGCCTCCTGGAGCCACCTGGGGAGGATTCGTCCCCCCCAAAAGAGGCCCGATCGATAGGAACATGCGTAGATCACATAGGATTGGAGCCACAGAAGAGGTAGGTCAATATATAGGAACACGCGAAAGCACTACGCACTCGTGCGTCAGGGCAGGCCCAATCGATATGAAAATATGTAAAACACTTCGGACTGGATGCGCACAAACCACTCGCAGAACACAAAGAATTCGTGCCCCAGGAGGAGCCACATTTATAGGGATATACGTAGCACCCTAGACTTGCGGATAAGAATGAGGAGGCGGCGGGCACGCCGGCAGCCTGCAAGGCTTTGAAGAACCCCGCCGCAAGCGCCACATTTCTAGCAAATTATACATAGAACTCGCCGCAGGCGCCAATTTTTTCACTGGAGCAATGTAGGTGGGTTGAGGGGTGGGTCGCGGGTGGGGGGTCGCGGGTGGATCGCGGGTGGATCGTGCGTGGGTCGCGGGCGGGTCGCGGGCCAGGTCGCGGGTGGGTCGCAGGAAAGGTCGCGGGTGGGTCGCGGGTGGGTTGCGGGTGGGTCTCGGGCAGGTCGCAAGGTGGGTCGCGGGCCGGGTCGCTGGTGGGTCGCGGGCTGGGTAGCGGGTCGGGTCGCGGATGGGTCGCGGGTGGGTCGCAGTCAACGCTCGGGGGACAACGACAATTAACAACAAACAATAAACCACACACACAACAAACAACAACCAACAACAACAACAACAACAACGACAACAACACCCACATCAACAACAACCACAACACAAGCTAGAACAATAACAACAACAACAACAACAACAACAACAGCAATCACTTTACCCGAACGCTCAGTGTTCTCACCAGTGCCAGGGTTTTCATACGACGCCCGCCAATACCCCCACTTTGTGGGGGGGCCGGTTCAAGCTCTACCACATTTCCAAACGACTCTTCGCCACCACCCACACCCAGCTTCCCGCCCTATGACGTTCGGACACTTCACTTCGTGGCCTGCGGACGACCGTGGCTACTACACTGGCGCATGGGTACAGTGACTTGTTGTGGTAACATTTTCTGGACGCTAGCTTAGTATACGACTTTTCCCCCTGTTCCAACACTGGACACCTATACTGGTTTTTGGAAAAACCATTGTTTTTTTTAGGATTCGGACAGCGCGCGCGGGTAGAAATTTTGAAAAGTCGTGCAGGTGTTTTTCGAGGACCTACGGTGCGATTCGTGTGATTTTATGATGCGCGGTGCTAAAATTCTTAAGAAGCCCAATGGTTTTTGGAGATTTCGGCGTGCGCGCGCGAAGAAAAAACGAATGTGTCCCGCATGGTATTATTTGACAGGGATGATGGCCCTGGCAGGTGCGCAACCGTTGTCGCAGAAGTTCGAAAAAGTTGCTCGCAAAAGCCCGTTTGACAGAAATGTTTAAAAAGTGTTGGGTTTCCTACGAATCCGCAAGAGCGCGCGGGATGAGATTTTGACATTTTTTTGTTGAAAAACCATTGGTTTTTTGATGTTTTTATGTTAAAATCGCTCCGAACACTAAGCTTTTGGAAGGATTTCGTCTTGCGCGCGCGAATGTCCACTTTACCTTATTTTTTGCAAGGGATTCTTGAAATTTGATTATATTAGAACAAGAAATGTCATTTTATAGTGTTTTTTGCAAGGGAAAACGGATTACAACAAAACAACCGGATCTTGATGACATCGTATTACCTGAGGCTTCCTCACGAAAATGATGAAAATGTAGCTGCGGCCTAGGCGGCGCAGGGGGGGCGCGCACCAGGGGGCCCAACAATAATTATTCTTTAGAATTAATAATGTTCAACAACAACAACAACACCAACAACGACGACAACGACGACAACGACAACAACAACGACAACAACAACGACAACAATAACACCAACATCATCAACAACCACAACAATCAATTTACCCGGATGATCTATGCTTATATATATATATATATACAGAATGCATCCATCATGATGTTTCCCCATCATGGGGGATGATGTTCACATGCGGGGGTCCGATTTCCCATCCCCCGGATATCCCGCCCGAAGAGGTCTTGACAACACCTCTTCCGAGGCACTTCAGTATCTCCAGCCCGGATGGCACATCGCTTTCGGGATTCCATCTGTAGGTGCCACGACGCCTGAGTGGTCTAAGACCTCTGGGGGAGGCCTCACAGCCTCCGACAAAGCCCGGTCGAGAGCACCCATAGCCCCTGAAAGGAGCTCCAAAACTGAGGCCCCTGGGGGGCCGCTTCTGCGCCGGCCGCTTTCCGATGGCGCCAGGGCTCATCGTCGTCGTCGTCGTCGTCGTCGTCGTCGTCGCCGCCGCCGCCGCCGCCGCCGCCGCCGTGGTCATCGTTGCCGTCGTCGTCGTCGGGCCCAGAAACGGCCAGGGGGTCTCGATTTGCTGAGGATGTGTCAGGCGAGAGCGCCTGTACTGAATTCTGCGCCAAGTTTCGCCAGGGTCGCCGGAAACAAAACAAGAAAGCTGGCGACCCGCCGGAAACAGAAGTGGAAGCTGGCGTGGAAGCTGGCAAGAAAAGTGGCGCGTAAGAGAAAGAAAAGGCAGAAAAAGGAAGAAATGGGGGAGAGGGACGGAACAAAAAGGAAGGCTCCGGCGACTGGTGCAGCAGCTGGCGTGATCGTTGGAACGATGGAGGGGGAAGTGGGAAAAAAAGGAACTCAGTCGAAATCGAAGGAAAAGTGGGAAAAAGTTAGGGCAAGCTGGCAGAAAGAAAGCGGGGGAAAGATAAGGACATGTAGGAGAGAGGACGACGACGACGACGCCATACCCCAGGACTCGAGCGAGAGCGAGGTCGCGAGGAGAAGGCGTGAG